TACCTACTACTACTACTACTACTACTACTACTACTACACCTACTACCTACTACCTACTACTACTACTACTACTACTACTACTACTACTGCTACTGCTACTGTTACTGCTACTGCTACTACTGCTACTGCTACTGGCTACTGCTCCTACCTACTACTACTACTACTACTACTACTACTACTACTGCTACTATTACTACTACTACTACTACTACTATTACTACTACTACTACTACTACTACTACTACTACTGGACCTACTTTGTTTGTCTTCTGGTTCTAAGGACTTTACAGATTGCCGACGACTACGACGACTACTAGTACCAGTACTACTAAGACGCCGGCGACGACGAGGACCCATTGGTACTGCTAGTACGACGGCTCTGCTGTCGCGGCAGAACTTGCGACATTAGCCTGTCGTTGTTCTCACTACTTTTATTTGTCCTTGGTGGCGCTGGCTGCCAGCTCGTCGTCAACCTTTTCCTGTTAGGGCGGCAGGCTTTGGAAGTCACGATGCGAAAACAGTTTCCCGGAAAAGGTGCTTCGCCGGCCTCTGCTTCCTTGACAAGTTGTTCAGCCATTCGCTCTTCTGCCATCAAGCTCTCATCGGACAGCACGGCCTGCGCTTGCGCAGCAATTCTGAAAGAACCCCGTTCCTATGTGTGCGGAGTTGCATGCGGCACTGCTTTGGCCGTCTCTGCCTCCGGTGTGTTGGCCACTTGCACGCGCTTGTGGCCATGCCTCTTCTGGATCTGTTCAACTACCAGAATCCCTATGACACATGAACGAAGCAGAAGCAGGAGTGAACTGGCCCGTAAAGGCAGGGCGTATGCTAGGCAACAGTGCAGCCAGGAAGCAACAGGGTCCAGGGTTGGGGTAGGGCGGGGTGGGTTGGGTGGGACGGGAAACCACGGTACATGCGGTGAAGAGCACACTCTTCAACCAAAGCTGCACAGTACATGACATATACTCGCTGCTGATACTTCCCGAATCTTCCCGACACTGTGAATTTGAATTGAACTTCTTCGCTGTCAGTGACGGCGCGAGAGTGCAGGAGCGAGAGTTCGAGCAAATGTCAGCTTGGATGGCCTCATTAATTGCCTTTTCGCGTGCGCTCGTCAAACCTTTGTCCTGTATGTTCATGGCAACCAACCCCTGGCCAATAATTACGTGATGGCATGGATCTCATACCTAGACTACATGATTTTTTCACAGAGGATCGATTACTAGAATTTAACGATCAACCTAGCAGAGACTCTATTTGAGCATGCCCTCATGTGCGGCGTGGAGCTTGAGCACACGAGGCTAGTAACAGCCATTGTGTCTAGCACAAGACGCGGTTGATGTCCCACCTCCGGTGGTGCTTTCGAAGGCCATCGGTTCCCGCCACGAGAAGCACGAGCAGCAGTCGGAAAAGCAAAGGCCTCACATCAGTGAGCCCATGAAAAGAGTTGGATGCGCGGACATGCATGGACTTCTTCAGGAAAGCCAAGCGACGCCATGGCTCCAGCCGGCGCGCTGCGTTGACGCGGTTTTGGGCTCTCTACGGAGCTCGCTGGTCATAGCGGAAAAGGCAACAAGCAGTCGCATCTCGTGCCAGGGGAACAGCAGAGCCTAAAGTCCCCTTTTTGTTGCTATGCCACGGATGCAAATCGAGGTTTCTGCTTGTCATCAACGAAACTTGGCCAGACTGTCTGGAACTGTGCGTGGGTATGGTTGCAGCAAAACGCAAGCAAGACACACAATCCAAAGAAAAAAGATGCTGTCACCACATGCGCATGTCATGTGCATAACGTTGCACCTTGTGTTCACTCAGCTAGTCGATGCTTGTTGCTTGCTTCCCCCGGCAAAAAGAAGCTAAGCTTTCAAGCACATGCAAAAAAAGCTTCACCAGCAACCAAAACGTCGACCGTTTCCACCTTGCTCAGGAAAGGCCTCGTATCTCCCACATGTACGCGCCCGTCATGACACCACAGCTCAGCTTCGTGATGCCCCTCCCGACTGCTGTCCGGGAGATGACCATTGCAGTCAAAAAGGCAGGAAGCTTGCTCTGTTCCACCCAAGAGTTGCTGGAATCTCTCGAACACACATGCCCGAGATTGCCCGAGTAGTTATGAACATCTACCAGAATCTACCACACATGAAGTCAAACGAAAGTTCTTAGCATCATGATCAAACGGCCGACGACTTGGAAAACCCGACAGAATGAGCCCGACGTTCTACAAACCCAAGTTGGGAGGAGAGCGCCACTAAAAACATGAGATGAGCCCCATTTCAAGACGTGTCGCCACACCCTGGTCGCATGCATGATCCACCAAGGACTTTGCTCTGACACGAAATACAGCACCAGCACAAACTCGATGCTACTTTTTCGTCAAACTTAAAGACTTAACGCTCTCAGACCCAACTAGCCTCAACGTTTTGCATCGTATGCCGCATCCTTCGGAGACTGAATTGAAGCGGAATGCTCACATACTGACTGCCGCCTTCTTTGAAGCAGCGAAGCATCCGTGCCCAAACAACCTGACTGTTTATCGGTTCGGCTGCAATATGGGGAAGTATCCCTCGTAGGAGGACAGCTCTGTGCGGTGCTGCATGGGCGCGTCCTGGGCGCGTCGAGCTCTCCATGTTGTTCACACGGTCATGGCTCTGCGGCGGGCGGTTGTAGACGATGTGAAACAAATGTGACGCGAACCGGTCACGGCTCCAGGGACATATGAAGCACCTTCAGGCGAACACGACGCAACAAGAAGCTTGTAATTGCACCTCATGCAAGGCCCTTGCTGCCCTTGCCTCTGCCTCGCGGCAAGCTGCAATAATTCCAACAGCGCTGTTGAAGCGACCATTCACCTGCAAGACACTGCAGCACTGCAGGGGAGGATGGCGGCTTTGAGCAAGGCCATCTGTCAGCTCGAAGCGGAATGAAGCGGATTCAGCTACATGGGCGATCTACATTCAATCCTTTTAGCCAATTGATGACGGGAGTCCTTTGCCATGCTCTCCTTAGCCCAGAGCTGGTTTGAATTTGGGCACAATTGGGTTAAACTCAAATAAGCTCTGTCCCTACCACGTGCCCGTGAGATCTCAAGGATACAAGATGCGCGGCTCCGGCTCTAAGTGTTTCTTCGAGATGTTCCGGAAAACCTACCGTAGTGTCGCCCCCTTTAAATTGCTGTGTTCTTACCTTGTTTCAATGGACACTGGACTCCCAAGCAGCTTAAAGGGCAGCTGCACAGCATGGCCTCTACGACTCGCATGCCTGGCTTCACGACCTCTCTGGATCCAGGCGGTTGGGCCTGATTCCACCTGACAGGTCGATAGGGAGACACAGGAAGGCAAAACTTTCTCTGCACATTGCCAGTTGCAAGCTGGTCTGGCCTGTCTACCAAGCCTCCTGGAGTGACGCTTTTTATTTCAAGCGTGCCAACCTGAGATGAAGTTGTGAGAATGACTGCCATCCTTGTCCAGGCGACTGTGATTGGACCTTCTCGGGAGCGGCATCGATGCCCAAGCTATCACCCGTCCTGTTCCATGTGAGGTTTCTACAGGTACAGACTCGAAGCAAGCAGCTGCTGGCAGAAAGCACCAAAACATCTACCGTAGTCTCAGCTCGCTTTAAGCTGTTCTGGTTCGACCCGGCCTCCTATCGATAACGATGGTGAACTCGGTGGGAGACCTGCCGCGGTCATTTTCAGTTTTTGACAAAGCATCGACAATCAGCGAGTGCCTTTTTCGGGTCTGTCTGCCAGGCCTGCGGAGCACACATGTAAACGAGGACACTTTGCCAGCGTGGCCAAACGGCCTCCTGGAGTCGTCAGACCCTTGCCTTGGGGGAGAAGACTGTCACATCGATCACCGGCACAAACGTGGATGACAGGAGCATCGTCACTCTCAATTCACGGGCTTCGCATGCCCGCACAGAATCCCACGAAGAACAGTCGGGACAGCGAGGCACTGCAGAGATTGTGCACGGAGGGTCGAGCATGGCCGAGGCAAACATGGAGCACCGTAAATCTTGGAGTGTGTCTAAGTCTGAGCTTGGGGCAAGTCGTCTTCACAAGAGCAGCAGGATCCTGTGGCCCCCATTGCCAACAGGTCCTCCGGTGGCAGATGGTTGAACTGTTTCCTGCGCCTCCCGCAAAACATCGTTTTGAAGATGGGTCCTCAGTGCCAGATACCCAGACGGACAAGTCTCGAGCCGAAGCAGCGGCCACAGAGCAAGCAGTTGACATCGGAGCCTTCGACATGGCACTGCTGACTCGAGGCACAATGCCTCTTCACAATTTCTTTTGGACACTGCCATTGATTCGTTAACGCAGGGGTACGCCCAGGAGACAGAGCAGGACTGAACGAAGCCAAAGCCAGCCCATGTGACTGTACAAGGAGGTTCACGGTTATGAGGCTTGGATCACGATCCCAGCGCAGGCTAAATGTCTTCGTCGCAGCACATCACAAGAAGTGTGTGAGCCTGCTGCTCTTCTCCTGTGCTCCTGAGTGGAAGATCAAGGTTCGTCCATGATGGAGAAGGGCACTTCTGGAGCATGTCCTGCTGAGAAGAGTAGTGGAGCCAGAACCTCGTGCGGGAATGTCGTGTTCGCGTTGACGTTCGCTCACAGAGAAGAATGTCAACACAAAAGCAATAGCAACGGGGCAGTGACAGAGAGAAGCGGTGAAACCTGCACATGACATGTGAAAGGGACAAATAGCAGATAGCATTCGTTCCCAAAGCCTGACCTGAAACTCAAAGGCGGGTTCTTCGCCCTGGACACACTGAGGAACTCGAGCACGCGCAAAGTACCTGGGACAGCGGTGCATGGCCATGGAAACACAAGTGCATGAGCCAATGAATTGCTTACCAGGCCGATCTTCAGGTGCAAACTGTGCGCTTTGCTGCATAGCTACTGCTTTGCTGAAAAGTGTCTCCTCTCGGGCAGTCAGCCAGTTCTTATGGCAGTCCGCCATGGCCTCAGTGCTTCGGTGCTTCGCCGGCTAGGCTTGGTTCTGTGTACTCAGGCGGAACACTACGCCGCGAAAAGCCAGCTACAGTAGTATCGGCTGTCATGCTAGATTGTATCATGCTACCAGGAGCTCATGAATGATCGTGGAAGAGTGCGCAATGCACAGAATGGCGACCTTTGCAATTTACAAGCAAGCAGCAATCCTGTACTGTAGGAGTATAGGCATTGCTTGTACAGCATGTACAAACAAGAGCAGACAGCCACACGCAGCAGTGCATTCGGCGGCTCAAGTCGGGCTTCGCCGCGTGTCGTTGGCTGTGCCGGTAGCGAGGCTCCGGCTCCGTTGTGGTCCTCCATGAGCTTTCTGCATTCAGAATCATGCATGGCCTGGCGCACCGTCACCAAAACACCCTGAGACTCGCCCGCACGTGTGCAGGCCCCACCTTTAACAGCCAGAAGGATGTCTCATACCTGAGATAGCGTCGCGGGCCGGCGGCAGTCAACGCACTTTTGAAGCAACTGCAGGTATGTGAAAGTAGTGAAATCCAAGCTTCTTCGGCTGCTGCTCGAGGAAGGCTTTCCAGGCCTTCAACAAAGTACAAAGTGCACACAGGTCGTGAAGTGTTCCATCTCTCAAACCCGTTACGACTTTGACCATGATGTGCATGAATGTGACGGTGCTGAATGCTACTGCTATCTTGGAGTCTTGGAGTCTGTGCGAGCCAGCATAGGGCCATCATCTCAAGCCGACGCTTGCTCGTCCTCTACTGACTCTACTGTATTTCATTGGTAGCTCTCAGCAGTAGGCTCTAAGCGACTACCGACTTCCCTCGACATATAATTCATGTCGATGTCTCTTTGAGCCTCACCGTTATCAAACGTGACATCAAAGCTCCATGTCCCTCCGATGTAATTCGTCTGCATAGCAGCAGCTCCTGTGAAACATCAAAAGCATACTGCAACCTGGGCGCGGAGTTCACCTCTGAGATTGCCTCGCAGGTTCCCGGATCTGACACTCTGGCGAGGCAAAGTGCAGTGATCCTTGTCGTAGTGCTCTTTGGCCCCCTCGAACTCACCGAAAGCAGTGGCCATCTCCTCGAAGTCAGCGACTCTCAGAAGCTCGTGGCCATCGTTGGAGCCCTGGGCTCCTTGTCCGCATTCTCTCTTTCCGCCTGCTGTCGCTCACGCTCGAGCTCCTGAGACCCGACGGAAGCGCAAATAGAGCCAACTCTCCCTGCAGTGCTCCTTGGCTATCTGCTCTGTGCCCTTCTTCTCCTGCAGAAGCCAAAGCGAGCAAGAGCTTTTACAGCGATCGCCGAATGACATTCCAGGACACCTGCTGAGTGAAATCAGCTATGTTTCGAACGCATCGTGTTCCTATCGGTAAGCGTTAATTGAGCCGACGAAGGCCTTGCTACCGAAGAGGTTCAGGGGAGAAGCCTGAGCATCTGCGCCAGGGACAAGCTCTTTTTGGTTGGTGCGGTTCTGAGCTGAGACAGGAGCTGCAACATCCGCCTTCTTCTTTGGCTTGTCCTGGGACTTCTCACAACACCATTCATGATGCTTGCAGGCGGCACTAGCAACCAGGCTTCGAGCTGTGCAATCGCATGAATGGCCTGTGGCTGGAATTCCGAGGAATGTTCTCGCCACCAGCTTGCACGACTTGGGTAAAGCTACGGTAGCAAACTTAGAGCACTGCCATCGGCTGTGCGACCCTTCCTCTTCAGCTTCACAGCCTCAACAATTCGTCCAGAATCAAGGAGAGCAAATAGAGAGATGTTCTCCAGAAAACTAAATTCCGAGGTGCCGTGAATGAAGATTCGCACAAACTCTGCGGATCCTTTCCGCAGGCATACAGCTTTCATGTCTAACTACGAACTGGCTCTCGTTGCAGAGTCGGCGCATCCTGCCTGCAGCGTGTGCCTGCGGGGAAGAGTGGCATTTTCCCACCTTTGCGAAGACTGAGTCATTGTCGTTGTGTAGAAATACCAAGTGCACAAGCAAGGTCAAGTCTAGCTTGGCTGCAGCGCGTTCACATCATGCCTCGCTTCCTGAATTCAGCTGGTATCTAAGCGAGAGACAAAGGCAACGGCCAGTCTGGAGGTCCATGCAAGACAGCTGAAGGCATTCGCGTCCGGCTATGGAGGTCAATACCAGCTGCAAGCTTTCGTCCCTTCAGCGCATGGATTCTTGTTTTCTGTTGCTGGCTTCACGACCCAAGTCTTCAAGCCCTTCAAGCTAAACTAGGACGGCGTTGACTTGCAATGTCCAGGAATGTGATACAGCGTTTGAGCCATCGCTCTGGCATCTGCATACTGTTAGACCGGGTTCGGTGATTTCCATCGGTGGGTCCCGCCGTCCTACCTTCATCATGGTTGATAGGCCGCTGCTTGGAATGGCATGCAAAGACTGAAAGGTGCAGTTGGGTCTTTTTCTCTGGGAAAGCCGGCACACATGCCACCGAATAGGCCAGCCTGAACAAACCAGCAGGCCAGCTTTTGCAGACTCTGTCAGTATGGGGCCTAAAAGTTCAACCAGTGCTCTGCACATGGCTTTTACACCTCAGTCTACCTTGAGTCTACCGAGGTGGTCCAGAAATCAGCACTTCTCACTTGTGCGGCACTGAATTTCTACAGCTGGGAATGATGCTGCACTGTACATGTTGGGAATTTACAACCACGTTGCACTACGACATCCGCGACGTCTTGCGGCACACAAAAGATGGAGCCTTTCTTTCTTTCTTTCTGCTGGGCATAGGGGTCCCCTGTCTCTGTCTGTGTGTCTGTCTGTCTGTCTGTCTGTCTGTCTGTCTGTCTGTCTGTCTGTCTGTCTGTCTGTCTGTCTGTCTCTGTCTGTCTGTCCCGTCAGGAGCCAGCTTAATTGCAGCATTTTTGCTCGGCACCCACGTTGCCGGACACATCTTGGGCCTCGTAGGTCACGAAGGATGGAGCCAGTCTGCCTGTCTCATCAGGAGCCAGCTTAATGACTGCACCTTTGTTGCCAGCGTGACCTAGGTAATTCGGAGCGGAAAATACAGTGATACAGTCAGGATGTGTCCACTCGAAGCCGCCCACTTTGACTTCGTGTGACCGGATCATGAGACGAAGGCCATTTCTTCTCAGGAATGCAGTAGTAATGTTGGGGCCGAATATGTAGCAACCTTTTCGGACTCTGTAGGACGGACCGTAACCCGTCTTTCCTCGTGGATCCGCCCAAAGCAGATCGACAATCACGCGCTGCACCTCGGCCTCATCTTCCGGCAGCTCGGCCAGTTTTTTCAAGTCCGTGGCGGGATCTCCACCACGGGGCAAGCTCGCGATGTCTTCCAGCGTCAGTTCGGTTTTCCGAGGCGGCAAAGAAACATTGTCCGGATTGTAACCAAGCAAGGACAGGTGCTGGCCACCACCGCGTCGACCACTAAAGCCAACTGCATCATAACCCGTACCACCTCCACCCGCATCGTTGAAGGGAAGCCGAGGATCTGGACCAGGCAGGCCCCCGTGAACAACAAAGACATCGGAGTTCAATACGTGCGCCAGCGGCATCCATCGAAACATCTGGGAAAAAGCATCAAAGAGCCTGCGATCATGACACAGCCTAGCTTAGAGTCTAGGAAATGCAAACATGCCGACTCACGCAGAGAACAAATTTCGTCATATCTCGAGCATCGTCAAGTCTATTGGCGAGTGATGGGAAGGTTTAGCAGCTTCTCGGAGGCACGGGCCTGTGGCCATCGAAGCCGTAATGATCACGAATCTCTGCGGCAAAGCCATAACGCAGGTTCAAGTCGGCAGCTTCGTGGTTGCCACGATTCATGTAGATGTAGCTTGGATGCCGCATCTTAAGCAGCAGCAACGTGAAAACAACCTCCAACGAATGAGCTCCTCTGTCTACGAAGTCTCCGTTAAACAGGTATGGGTTCTTTTCCGATGGCATACCCAATTCCTCAAAAATACGCAGGAGGTCATAGAACTGGCCATGAAGGTCACCCACAACAACCACAGTGTTCACTTCGACTCTCTGCAATGTCTGCTCTGCCCGGAAAAGCTTGTCTGCATCAGTCACCAGCTGAAGAGCATCATCTACGGAAAGCACTGGTTGTCCAGCGTGCTCTGTGAAAGCATCTAGTGCGGACTTGAGAAAAGCATCATCTACAGCGTGAGTGTAACGAAGCGGGTAGTCGCGGATGGCTTGGGGCCGCGGAATCTGGGGAGCAGGGGTCATGGCGACGGGAGCTTGCTCCGTGGGCTGTAGCTGGATCTGAACGAACCTCTCAATGTTGACAAGCAGCGAACCGCATGCGTGCACAAATGGATTAAAGAACATGCTGCATGTTCAAGGCAGCTGAGCGGCTCTATCCGAACGGGCAGATCTGCAGGAGAATTTTGCATAGCACCTGCCAAGGCTTTGAGAACTGTCATGCTTCGGAATGGTTGCGTGGCTGCCTTTGCAGGTCGACTGAAACTTGCCGCTGGAATTGTCCAAGATCTTGTCGCCCAGTAAATCCAAGATATCAGGAAACTCCCAGGTGGACACATCCTGGCCGTTGATTGCCTTGACCTCAGCGCAGGCTGGCCAGCAAAAACAACTTGGGAACAGTGTTGGAGCATTAGCGCTGCTCTGGGGAGTAAGCTGCAGTCTCATCTAGTCAGAAGCTAAAGACCAGAGCAGCACCTCTGATGCCACTTCTGTTGCATTGCTGGAGAACTCGGAATAGGGTTGACACTTCTCGTCTATCTCAATATACTCTGCAAAGTATAGTACAATCAATGTACAAGAAACGATTGGATAAGAAAGGTAGGGGCTACATGGGCTACGTCACCCGGATGGCACCAAAAAACACCGACATCTTCTTCCAGCCAAGAAATGAAGGATACCCAACGCTGGGAGCTGGCATTTCTTATCTAGCAGATGCACCGTAGTCTATCTGCCAGTGCTTCAAGCTGCTACAAATTCTTCTTCCACACCCGCCATTCGGGCTCGACCTTGTGGATCTCCAGGATACCGCTCCTCATCATCAGCTTTCACAACAGACGAAGTGTGATGGCATGAGAAGTCCTCGCCCAGCTCCCAAACCATGGCACCCTTGCCGTTCCTCAGTTTCTTTTTTGCGAAATGGGCTGCATTGCACTGTCGTCCTGTTCCGGTTTTCTACCAAGGCTCGAGCTTGGAGCATAGGCAAGAACGCCGAACGGACGTGAGCAAAACTCGGCCGTGTGTCTGGACTTGATGGACTTTAAGTTGCTGGCATCGAAGACCGGTGCATTCTGAATCTTCCTGCCCTCGCTGTCGCGCAGGCTTGCTCTCAAGGCGCTGATGTAGAGGCCTCCCCGGCGTCTCTTGAACCCACACACCACAGCCGCGATGGCTGCTGGTCTCCAGTTGCCTGACGTGGTCCTGAAAAGCGAAGCTGTTAATTCAAATCACTTATGCAAAATCTCTGCAGTCCTGGCCGTTGAAGGTGGGACCGTCTTGGCTCTGCAGGGTTTCAGCAGGCACGGCCAGGCACCGTGGGACATTGCGTTGCTGCCCGAACCTTCGTGAGGGGAGAGGGCCTCGGCTCAGTTGCCAGGAGAACTGCGACTTTGAAGCAAGTGCCAGGCCTCTTCCGAGCAATGCCTGCCGTTTGCGCAAGGATACTGCTATCAGCCGGAAGAACATTCCCTGCCTGCCACTCAGGCTGTGAATGAAGGGTCAGCGGCCCTCTGGCACATGGTGGGTTCATCACTATTGCGCAGTTCTCGCAGTCTTGAGCCGTGAGCTCCGATTTGTGTTGCAGACCTTGACCATCGGTGCTCTCAGAAAGCTGCGCAGCGTCGTGGTCAATCCAGATGGTTCGACCAAGGCATCATGCTGCAACTGTCCGCATGGTGCTGCGAGAGTCGTCTTATTTTCCGACTGGTATCGATCCATGGCTTCAACAAATCCAGAGAACTCAGACTCATGTTGAAACGCGAAGAACACTTACTTGCATGTCCGCATTAAGAGTTTGAACTGCGACAGTTGGCACCGGGACTGTCGGAGTGTCCGTCAGCTGGGTGCGCGCAACATGCATCTCGTCCCCCTACACCAGCCATCAGGCCATTCGCGTGGATGTCGTCTCCAACCGTCGCCCAGTTCCGTCTTGAAGAAGAGTTTCTCTGTAAGTGCTCTGTGTCCATGACACTGCCATCACGAAGTCATTGCTTTGGGGGGACTCCTGGCCCCGCCTTCGCAACTGGCAATGGAGTTCACGATGTATCGGGTCACTCAAATGCACTGGCTTCGCAGCACTATCCTGGAAGGAAGTGAAGGCCAGCTCTTCCCATATGCACTTGCCAAAGTTCCGGAATGCTGCTCGTCAGGCTGAGCCCCGCGAGTATTACCGTGTCCGGCTCTTCACTAACATTCGACATCGAGCGCCCCACCCCACAGAAGCCAGTGGCCCAGCTGCGACCTCAAGAAGATTCGGGCAGCCGCCCCTTGGGTCACATACTGAGTCACACTACTGTCATCATCTCCTGCTTAGCTTCGGGCCCCGTGGCAGCTGATGGATGTCTTTGGCTCCAGACCTGCTTTGTCGGACCTTCAAGCGAGAGCTTGTGAATGCTTGTGACGCTTTGCCGTGCGGGTCCGGTCAGAACGGGTACCTCGTATGAGGCCTTCTAAACTCCCACAGACCAGGCCGACCGTAGATGACATGAACCTATGATTCACATTTTTAGTAGTCACGCACGCAGACGCGAACGCACCGAACGCGCACCAAACACACTCCGAACGCATGCTCAAAACGTGCTGCCAAACTTACGTCCAAGCCCTAATCTGCGCAACGGCGCAGGATAAGCTGATTGATCCTTTGCAGAGTGCCGATCCCACCAGTGTTGCCACCAATGGTGCCGAAAGAACCGTTGCGAGACATTGATTTCGGCATTCTCTAGGAGCGGAACGCTCGAAATGTTCGTCTTGCAAACCGCAGGACTCTGGTGGCACCCAAGTGTGTGTGTGTGTGTGTGTGGGTGGGTGGGTGTGTGGGTGTGTGAGTGTCTGGGTGTGTGTGTGTGTGGGTGTGTA